GTCTGTTTCACAAATTGACAGCAGGTCTCTGGTTTCAAACTTCAGTACTTTCTGGGTACCACCTGAAATGGGCCTTTAACGGCAAATACTGCAGGTTAGCACTGAATACTTGGTTAAATTTTTATAGCGGCATTTATTATACTGAATAACAATTTTGCTCATTTTAGAATGTATTTTATTAAGGCAGGGTTATAGTTACTGAGATACGGCTTACGTTTTTTTTTATAAAGAAATGCTTTTATGTTCTTAAATGTGAAATATCCAATATAGTAGTACAACACGTACTGAATGTGAGCTATCGTTTTTGTAATCATGACCATGATCAAGTAACGTTAGCTGATCAATCTTTCAAAAAGAAAATAGATTAAAACATGTGAAAACATGCTGGCTTGTTTACTTGTGAAAAATTTAAAATACAGAAAAATGTTGATGATTAGCTCAGTTGAATGAATGAGGTCATTTCAGCCACTGACTGTTCTGGCACTGTGTAGGCCTAATGTGTGAAACATTTCACTTATGATCTCAACAGTTACAGTTTGGTTAAGATTTGTTTTTTAAAAACTTTTTTGAAAAGTGGCTGTTTCTTGTCATTTCTTCATTTTATAAACATGACGTTTTTGGTGGTTTTAAGGGTGAGTGGGTCATCTAGAAGCATATCATGATAATTCCAGTCTGTTAGGCGAGATATTCACCCTCCTCTGCAGCCCACAATGAAAGAATGAGAGGTTTCAAGTGAAGGCTCTATAGATAAGTGTGTGTGGTTGTGAAGCAGCAGCCCCACCTCTCCCTCTCTCTCTCTCTCTACCCCGCGTCTATCCCCCTCTTCTCCCGCTCTCCTCTCCTGTCTGCCTCCCTAACCCTCCTTCTGATCCGAGAGGAAAGCTTTCATTATTTGCTGAGATTGGGATGTCAATCCCTGCGCCCCTGACCCAAGTTTGTAGTTCTCCCCCGTCATATTGGGGAAATGATTAGTGGGGTTATCTCCCCTCCAGTCGGCGAGGCTTTCATTCCTCCTCACGGCCCCTCGTACCTCCAGGCAAGGAGCCCCCCCCCCATTTTACACTTGCTGATACTTCATCATGTACTTCATCTCTCTAAATGTCTCTGTTCATTGCTGAGTCAGATTCATTTCAACACGACAGCCTCTCTCTTCTCCTTTTCTCTTCCATCTTTTCAGCTATGGAGCCGCAGAAATGTTGGTTCGGTGAATGAAGCTGGCTGACTTTTTAATTTGAGATTTTAATATGAAGGACAATAAAACACATTTAGAATGTGATGACTGTGCCAGGGTCCGTGCTCATAGTGGTCCCTGCCCGCTGCATACTCTTAAATATCACAAACATAAACTCAACATAAGTGCATCCAACCCATACATTCACATTATTATTTTTTCACCATATAGACTGAAGCAGCTGATCCTATATTTAAAACAGATATTTCTAAAACATGAAACACTTAGTTTGGAGTATTCCACATGAGGGTGTGTAATAGAATGGTTTTGCTCTGTTTTGAAATACTTCAGTGTGCTATGGTGGCTTCAAAGGTTACTCCAAAATGCCCTAAATACAGGCGGTATGTGGGATATAGAGCCTATAGGCACGTGGGAATAAATTGATGTGATGTCTTCTCTGACTAACAGCCGGTATAATAGCCCATATAAAGGCCCATTTCGCTTCTGCGCATGGAACTACCGAAATCAGTGCTTTTCGTTTGTGGCCATTGTTCAGGAAAAACGGCAAAATAGGCCATGCGTTTCTTGCACATTTTAATTGATCTATTTTTCATCTCTCCCCCCGCGGATTGTTTTAAGCAAAACGCTGCCAGTGTATCGAAACCATCCTAATGCACGCGGCAGATTTGCCTCATTGGTCCACTGGAAGGAATGAAAGGAAATCTAAAAGCGTTCACACCACGAGCACGATGCAAATTACGCTTTGATTCACTCTTAATTTCATCAAATGCTTGTTTTTTGTTTAGTTTTTTTTTCTTTTGAATTATTATCATTATTATTAGGAATCCACGGGATTAAGCAGAGTCACTGATCCTCTGGGTCTAAGCCTTTTTTCTTTTTTCTTTTTTTGTCTGTTGGGAGCTCAACCAGACTCCATCCGCACTTCATTAACCCTGAGCCGGGGACAATCCACAGTAAGAGCCGGGGGATTTACCAACAGCCTTTCACATGCAAAGAAAAGAGGGAAAAAAACCCTCTCCGAGTCACCCAACAAGACACACGGGGGCTTTTCCTTATATAATCAGCTGTGCACTTTGCAAGAATAACCCCCTTTTCATTATCTGAATCGGTCACGGATCCTCATGATGGGACTATAATGATCTTTTGGCAAGTTGGGAGGTGTTTGATCCCCCCCCCCCCTTCCCTTCCCTCTCTACTTTCCCTGTTGTCAGAGCTCGACTCAGCCCTCTGTATTTTTAATGCAATTTTCCGCATCATAAACGCGCCAGTTATCAGGCCGTCAGTCTGATGTGTCACGGCGTGGTCAGCCACTAAGTGGAGGCCCCAGATAACAGGTGCCATGCGTGGATGACAGCAGGGGTAGCTGGCTATCAGACCCATTATCGACTTTCAATTAAAACCTATTAAAGTCTTTTGTCTAATCGTTAACATCCTACACGCCAAGTCTTGTCCGTCAGCCTGAACTCCTTTAACCCCCAACGCGCCGCGGACGGATAACTTGGGTCCTCTTCGACTCGGAGGGGGGGTTTGGTGAGATGCGCACGGAGGAGGGAGGGGCGGTGCCGGTGGAGCCGCTGACCAGCTGTCCCCACGCTGATCCCCGGCCTGCAGTCAGCTCCAGCCCGGTCACCAGCTGTTGGAGCCGTTTGGCAGAGGAGCGCGCATCCAGCACCCTCAAGGAAAAGAAGGATGGAAACAATCAATTTCCAAATGGGATCATTTAGGGCACTTAAACAATTGCGCGCACATAACATTAATATTTCATCTCCTGCATTGTTTATGGAAAACGAATTGGAGTTGCTGCTGTTAATTTAGGAGAGTGGGAATGGTGAAGAAGACGATGGGGGGGGGGGGGGGGGGGGGGGG